TCATCAAACTGGCTATTCACTGGAATCCAATCAAGCACCGAGACTTAGCTTTGGAGTTGAGAATGATGTGCACTCCAGCTTGACTGATAGTTTCTGCGTCAGCGTTGGCCGGTGGCTGAGTGGTCTGCGCTCCTGGCTTGCAATCATAAGGTCACCAGTTCGAATCCGCGTAAGGGTGAGTTTCCTCGCAGTATACTCAACCCACGCGCGACTGATGGCGGTCGCGCGGCAGCGAAGCCTCGTTCCAGCGTACGGCTGATTATTTTTTTTTTAATTTTTTGCCGCATCAGCGTCTCCGGATGCGTACAACCAATGGCGAGAGGAAAAGTTGGGCGCCATTAATTCAATACCCCTGTGAGGATCATTTGTCCTACTTTCGGGCACATAATACACCGGGGTGTCCAACGCGTGCGAGTGCAGTCTGTGTACCTATTTGTCTTAAAGTGTAAACGTTAACCGCCGCCAAGGGAACTGGACAGCGTGGTCTTATAAGTCGCTGCTGCTGATGGGCGTCCAGTGGGTGGCGCTGGAAGGTAGCTACAGATAGTTTAACTACAATGGAATTGTGGCTGCTGTTAATTAAACTGGGAACTATGGAGTCAAGATTAGTAATGGGGGTCGGGAGAGGAAGTAAGAGAAACATTGGGAAAGGAAAGGAGGCGTCACTACTAATATATTTTCGCTCACACACCCTGCTTTATACATCAGCTAAAGCGGCGCCTGATAAGCTGCGCAACGGCCGATACGGGATGTTGTTGGAGTTTGAGGGAGTAGTCACGGTCGTACGACTGCTGAAATACTGCCAGAACGCTCAGACCTAGGCAGGAGGACTATTAAGGTCCTAAATCAAAGCCTCTGGATCAAAATCTTGTTCGCAAAGCAGTAGATTTGGCTTTACAGAAATGGATATCAATTTCAGACCCCCAGCCTGGAGGGCCAGAAGACTGAGTTTATCTGGTACTGATACTGAGAAAATGCAGCAAGTAGAGATGCCTCTGTTTAGCTGCATCTAATCTTTTTCAAGCAAATCCACCAATTATTGTGGTGATTATTCCCGATATCTCAAGTCGGCAAAGAGTGTATCCCTGAGTTTTATAAACTCCGACACCGACTTTACTTCGACTATCTCTGCAGGCTGGTTGTTCCAAATATTTACCACCCGCTTGAAGCAGAGTTGGTGAGCGACCCTCTTTAAATCCGGTACGACAAGCCTGTACCCGTGTCCCTCATGTGCTGCTTATTGTGCGCAGATGCAGTGGTGGCCTCAACATGGGGAATTCGCCTAGATGTAATATCTGGTGCATCATGATAAGGTCAACCCGCATTCGACGATTAGACAGGGTGTACAACCCTTGCCTCTTGTATTGGTCTTCATATGGCACACCTCGTAAACCGGGATGAGCCTTGTGGCAACATGCTGTACCCGCTCAATCCTCTGCACCTCGCGCCGAATGAGCGGACAGTAGGGGAGTGAAATGTACTAGCATTGATCTGATAATGGAAGAGAAGAGGCGAGTGGCAACCTCTTCGGACCAAGTACAGAAGCTGCGTTTGAGCGTCCAGAGCATGCGCAGTCCGTTTTGATAAAGCCTGCTCGTGTTTTCAACGGATTTCAAGTCGCAGCGTGAGAGTACCCCGAGATCTTTCACGGATGGCGATGGGTGTGACTGTTGGCCGGCCAGATTGTAGACTCGGCCATTACTACCCTTGCCCCAGGCTCATGAATACCGACTTGACCGAATTAATCGGAAGGCTGGTCTTTGCTGACCACCTGGAGGGGGGTGGTCAAGCTCAGGCTGGAACAGGTCGCAATCGTCAGGCGCCTCAATTACTCTTCATACCTTAAGGTCATCTGCAAACAACACGCAAGGTGAACTGAGAAGCTGAGGCAACTCGTTGATGTGGATCAGGAGTAAAAAAGGCCCAAGGACTGTGCTCTAGGGGATGCCATTGGTCGAGGGATACCACTCGGTCAAGTAGTTGTCCACCTGCACCCTCCACGTCCTACCAAAAAGGCAGTTACTGATCCACTGGTGCAGTGAGCCACCAACACCACACATCTTCAGATTCCGAAGGAGGATTTCATGCTTCACCTTACCAAACGCTTTACTGAAGTCGATTTAAATAATTTCAACTGACTTCTCTTGGTTTAGCGCGTGCAACCATTCGTGCATCGAGAGCAGCAGGTTTGTGATGCATGACCGACCTTTCATGAAACCGTGCTGCGCGGACGTCAAAATGCTTTTCTACTCGAGATTCTGCAGTAGATCTCGTTTCACGATCTTTTCGAGTGTATTAGCCAAAACAGAGGTCAGGCATATCGGTCGGTAGTTGTCCACACACAGAAAAGCACTTTCCTGGATTTATGCTGTCTGTCACCCTGAGTCTAGTTACGACGAATCTTCTCAAAAACCTAATTAAGATTTTCAAATGTTTCTTGCAAAGAACCAAATACGATCATGACAGACTGACACCATGTGTATATCTGGTGGGACAGGCCGAAAATGTAAGTTGGTTTATGAACGGATTGCATGACCTTAGAGCGCACAAGTCCCAGAGATCTAAGCACCCTTACAGGAGTAAACCTCAAATCAAACCGAATAAGCTTAGTAGTATCCTCTGGGAGCGAGTCGATACCATGGGTCCAGCACAGCACATTCGCTGTGGTGAAGGGTTTTATACTAGTTCTCCAAATTAAACGCTGTCTTTTGGGCCGAAACACAGTAACTGCCGTTGGATGAAGGCCGGTCTACAGTAGAATGTCGATTACCTGGCGCCACAGTACGCTATGATAAGCAAATTCCTATCGACGAGCATACCAGAACCCCTTAGATTGTAATTGAAAAAACCACGTGCTGACCTAACCAGCACAATGAGACCCTCATGTTTCACACGAGCGCATGAACGCGGGACCATCTACAACGCGTTCATGATATTCCCGAAGGAACCGACGCCTTTTGGCTTTTATACGTCGGCATCTAGTAACACCTAAACTAAGAAGTACTCGTGACATAAATATCATGTTTCAAATAGGTATACAAGGCACAAACCCATTTCAGTCCACTTGGCCACATGCCAATCCTGTTCGATGCCACCAAGTACATCGGTTACCGGCTACATTGATCTTAACACTTTTTCAACTGGGGCATTGAAATTGTCATGATAGACGATTGCTAGGCGGTGTGACGACAGGTTTTATTCGGTATTTGCGCCATTACTGAACTCTGATCAAGCCAGCGGGGTTCTTCAAGCCATTAACATGCGGCGCGACGGAGCAATCCTCCAAAGCAATTAAATTTCGGTTTTCTCGGAATCAGATGGCAACTGGGTTTGTGATGCTGGATTATGTGATTTGAATTATCAGATGGCTGCAAAACGATTAAGACAACCCACTCACCTTGAGCATCTAGAACAGTACGGAGGCAAAAATCCCCCTGGCCTATCAAGCTCAGTGAGAACATTCCAGCCAATCAATAACAGTACTCGTAGCGCATAACCGCTATCGGTTTCTTCTACATACGCGACAGTGAGAGAATAAGGTTGTGCCTAACAGAAATATTAGCGTATGACTGAATTACATCCATTTTAACGTACGCTAGTGTCAGCGATCGAAGAACATTCCACTGCATCAGTGCACGAAGCTGGGTCGTGACAGTCGGCGTTGTTCAAAGGTTCTACCAATGTCACTGCCTCACATTCATCCGTCACGTCAGGCTTTGCCCCCTGATAGACATCACCAACTTCCAATGAAGCATACATGATAATAGGTCAACAGGAACCCCGTATTCAGGTTGAAAGGAGTCTATTGTAGACGTACTTATCTAGTTTCCGTGTCTGACGGCGAAAACATATAATACATGCTCTCACTATGATGGTCAACTCCTGTTTAAAGAAGTGTAAGACTATAGGGCGTGGGGCGCAAATTTTCCACACCAACTTGTGCCCAATTGCCGGGTACATACTTGAAGTGCGTTGCCAATTAAACTGCCTCCATTCATCAAACAGAGCACCTGCATCACAAACAGACTCATCGAGACAGCCACTGATCTGCTGACCCTTTTCTAACTTTCCCATGACGCTTTACATGTTCCAGCCGCAACTTATTTTTTAATCTCCCTGCCGAGTGCTTCTGACTGTGCACAACAGTTTCAGCTGCTAGCTCAAAATTTTTAAACGTTAACGCGACATACACTTTAGACCACTACCCTCCGTCTACTTTTACGGGTGAAATTTGCCCCGAAACCAGAATGTACGCCATCATTAACAGAAGAACCGTTTCAGCAACATCCTCCAGCGGCTTCTTTCTTGTAGACATGGCTCGGGCTGGAAAGCGTTCTTTAGTACTTGCACTCTAAGCTTATCATATAAAGAAGCTTTATTGGGTTTTACACTCTAAAGACAGACTACAGACTCTGAAGGCAGATTGCTGAGAACTTTTGGCAGACCAAGGGGCGATGGTTACTTTTTCTTCAATTTACCAACGAAGAGGATTTGTTGAGTATTGTAAGCAGCGCATCTGACGGTGGCTGAAATATCACTTTTTTGCTATGTGCACTCGTGTCACAATAGTTTAGTGGACATTCCCTCGATTCGATTGCTGATCGGCTGCACCGGATTAGCGGCTGACCTTGCTGTGCTCGAGATCAAAGGTTTTCTGGTGGGCCTACAAATACATCTTAGGCTTCGGTGTGTTTGTATTCCTTGATATCTTTTATCTGTTCCCGTGAGCGTCTTTCTGTCTACGTTTGGTTCCTGCAGTAATTGTATGTCCATGAAGAAAGGTTGTTTCTACCCGTACTTGCATATAATCTAGAAGGTTACACACGATTTACGCTCGTTTCCACGACTCGTCAGAACCTTCCTTTTCGTTATTGAAGTTCCCACGTAATCTCACCATCCTGTCGCTTTTAGTCCTCTTTTGGTCCTCTTTTTATTCAGTGCTGTTCATAATTCTCCCTGCAGGTCTGCGCCTTCCGTTCAATCTCAATGTCGTTGTCCTGATGATCAAATTATTCGATCGAGATTATAGCGGCTGCATCGAGTTTAATGAATTCACCAGTCTATTCTCTTACATAGAACAGTGGAAAACCTGCTTCCAGCGTTTTGATCGGGATAACTCAGGAGCTATAGATGCATCTGAATTTAAATGCGCCCTTCAAACATTCCGGTATAACCTTTCAGACTCGTTCATTCAGCAAATGGTGCGACGTTTTGACCGTACTCGGACAGGACAAGTGGCGTTCGACGACTTTATCCACGCCTGTGTGTGCTTACAAGTGAGTTGCTGTTGCTTCCTACCTCACAATATTGTCTCTGTACTTCTGTTATCATTGTGCATTTTTTTACCAGGTGAAACACGTGATGAAACCTAGGCTTTCGAGTGTTTTACAGCTCGAGAGCCCGATTTCACGTCCTACTGGTGAGCATCTTTCGACGCTTTTTGCACCGCGGCATTGATTGCGGCTTTAGCTGTCGTGACAGTACAGCCAGGTTTGCATTCTTCTGTGTGACGAGAGGAGTTGCGTACTTTGACACCGTATATGCTCGATCATTTCCACGCTGTTAGGTTCCCGCTGACAGTACGGATAACCGATGCAGCCGCTCTGGTCACGATACAGCCACTTTCCAAATCAGAAGACAAAGGTCTCTGGCGGAACTTGTATGGAGCACTCGGAAGACAGAATGTGCAGCCAAAATATTGGGTCGAAATAAATAGTTCATGAGAGGAAAGACCTAATTGAAAGTTCCTGACTACAGCAGCTACTAGATGCGCAAAAACTCGCTTGTTGGCTGAGCAAGTAGTGTGCTTACTGAAGGGCTTCAAGGTAGGTCATCCTGATTGGTCCACCCCAAGGTAAAATGATGCCATTGGCCTGCTCCCACTGGTTAGCCAATCGTTTATAGGTGGCATACAACCAATCTTCTCCGGGCTGCTCCAGATATATATACACACACACACACAGAGGGCTAGCTTCGATGGCCGCTATGGGCAGGTTCCGGTAACAGTTTGAGAAGCAGCTGCAAATTATCCGTAGCACCAACACCAGCTCTGGCCAAGTATTTGCAGCCGGCCTACTAAAACATAGGAAATTTCTCCTAGTTTTGCGCAAAACCGGCCAACTGTCCATCAGCGTGGGTTGTTTTTTATGCCTCACAACATTCGTCTCGATTCACCAGCATGAGAAGGCGAGCGGGTTTGACACAACCGATGAGCTTTTCCCAATTTTCGTTCTGATGCTTAGTGTCCTTCAAATGGCTGGCTTCCTAAAGTTTCCTAATGCTTTAAATTTCGTAATGCATTTGAATTTGTATACTTGTTAACACAATGACTTTCTACAACAATGGCTTCAAGTTGTCTGATTGCTGATAGCCGTTAAATTACTCAACCCGTCATGTATTCTGGGTGATGTTAACGGTAATGCCCACCCTGTCAGTTTTGTTTTGTTCGAAAAAGCATGTGAGTGCCGTCTGCATGTTTCCTCGGTTCACCGCAAATCACCGTTACACCCCCAAGCCTTGAAGAATGCCCATTTATTATGTCAAGCCCAGAAAGAATGGCAAAAGCACTGTTTTACAGCTCGAGAGCCCGATTTCACGTCCTACTGGTGAGCATCTTTCGACGCTTTTTGCACCGCGGCATTGATTGCGGCTTTAGCTGTCGTGACAGTACAGCCAGGTTTGCATTCTTCTGTGTGACGAGAGGAGTTGCGTACTTTGACACCGTATATGCTCGATCATTTCCACGCTGTTAGGTTCCCGCTGACAGTACGGATAACCGATGCAGCCGCTCTGGTCACGATACAGCCACTTTCCAAATCAGAAGACAAAGGTCTCTGGCGGAACTTGTATGGAGCACTCGGAAGACAGAATGTGCAACAGAAATATTGGGCCGAAATAAATAGTTTATGAGAGAAGACCTAATTGAAAGTTCCTGACTACTAGATGCGCAAAAACTCGCTTGTTGGCTGAGCAAGTAAGTGTGCTTACTGAAGGGCTTCAAGGTAGGTCATCCTGATTGGTCCACCCCAAGGTAAAATGATGCCATTGGCCTGCTCCCACTGGTTAGCCAATCGTTTATAGGTGGCATACAACCAATCTTCTCCGGGCTGCTCCAGATACACACACACACACACAGAGGGCTAGCTTCGATGGCCGCTATGGGCAGGTTCCGGTAACAGTTTGAGAAGCAGCTGCAAATTATCCGTAGCACCAACACCAGCTCTGGCCAAGTATTTGCAGCCGGCCTACTAAAACATAGGAAATTTCTCCTAGTTTTGCGCAAAACCGGCCAACTGTCCATCAGCGTGGGTTGTTTTTTTATGCCTCACAACATTCGTCTCGATTCACCAGCATGAGAAGGCGAGCGGGTTTGACACAACCGATGAGCTTTTCCCAATTTTCGTTCTGATGCTTAGTGTCCTTCAAATGGCTGGCTTCCTAAAGTTTCCTAATGCTTTAAATTTCGTAATGCATTTGAATTTGTATACTTGTTAACACAATGACTTTCTACAACAATGGCTTCAAGTTGTCTGATTGCTGATAGCCGTTAAATTACTCAACCCGTCATGTATTCTGGGTGATGTTAACGGTAATGCCCACCCTGTCAGTTTTGTTTTGTTCGAAAAAGCATGTGAGTGCCGTCTGCATGTTTCCTCGGTTCACCGCAAATCACCGTTACACCCCCAAGCCTTGAAGAATGCCCATTTATTATGTCAAGCCCAGAAAGAATGGCAAAAGCACTGTGTTTTAAGCAAACACTTATTTTCGATATCTTCTTCCTCTGGCTTGTACAATATATGTGCACTATATTTTGTGGCTGCTTGTTATCGTCAGCATTACAAAGAATCAGCTGATTATATAATTTAACTTGTGATCATGATATCAATCCTCTGATCACACGATAAAAGTCAGGTGGGTTTGCGGTGATCACTTCCTTTCCGTCTGATGGTCGGCCACGGGAGTTGCAGCGGTTGTACCGTTTTTATCTGAACCCGCAGGCTTGTTTGCCATATATATACTGCCTCGGCGGTATTCTGTAGAGAATCTGAAAGGTAGTTTGCTTGTTTATCTAGTGACCGGTGTTGATTAATTGCACTATAACTTATTAGGGAGTAGCAGGGGTTATTGTGTTTCTGAAAAGTTCCGTCGCAGCTAAATTCAGCCAGGTAGGCACCACACATCCAGAGAAGCGCTAGATGGCCGTTTCGTTCCATTAGGACTTCAGCAGTCACACCCACCGAATCCTGTGGGATTCGAAAGCATGACCTTACTCTTACGAGCCGGCGAGTTAAGCCACTGAGCCTTGGGGGACATGACGGCGACGGACCACCATGACTGATATGGCGCGGCTCATCCTCCACGGTCATGTATGTTATGTACTCGCAGAGAACATGGCTAGCCCCAGGTTACGACTTCCTTTGAACACCGCCACCAAGCGAGGTGGCCTGTAAGTTACTAAGGTGATTACTGGTTATTAGTCAGTAGAAGGGAATTTATCACAGCTAGACTCATTCTTGGCGGTTGAACTGTTCGCTAAGCTTGGCAATTTTGTTGCAAACGTTTCGTCATTAATCGAGTTGAGTGGCGTGCGGTAGCGTAGAGTAGCCAGACTCATTCTTATCAAAAACATTAAATTCCTCCACTACTCACTGGTAATCAGTAATCGCCTTGGTAGCTTGCATGTCACCTCAATTGTTGGCGGCCTTCATAAGTCGTAGCTCTGGGGGCCATCCCTGTCCTCAGCACGTTCCTAACATGCATGACAGTACGGTTTTCTATATCTTTACTAAGATTGACCTATCATTCCTTTGGGCAAGGTTTGCATCTAAAAACTCCTTTGATTGTTCTTTTCTTCTTTGGCTGTAAATGTGGCAATTGACTGCGGGTGGACGGTCCGATCACAAATGCATAGTTTACCGTCTACGTAACGCTGGTAGAAATTCAGATCGGCGATAATCTGTTTCAGTGGACGGCCTTTTAGGATTCCCATATGGATATCCCCTAACAGTGGACCAAGCGGAAATCTGATGGCTACGTTATCCACCCGTCTGCATAAATTACCGAATCTGAAGTGAACCTTATAGGTACACCTGAGTGCCAGTTGTTTCAGTTGGTTGATTGGCATACCAATGTTTATCATTGCACGAGCATATAAAATCAATTGCTTCTTTCGCAGGCACGTTAGTCAACATTGAAACTGCTAGAGAGGCGGGCCCAGCCAATGTCCGAATACGAGATCGCAAACGTGTGTGGGTTTCCTGTGGAGTACGTGAGCTGTCTGCTACATGTGAAAGCACGAGCACGGTACAAAGTCAAACTGTTCGGAAAGCAGGCACGAGTTTTTGGCCAACGAATACAAGCCAGTTCAGGCGAGAGTTTTGGCTAGCAAATACAAGTCAGTGCCAAAGGAGGCAGTGCATTCGGCCAAATATGGAAAAACCGTGGAATCAAAATCACTGACATTGGCTGAGAGCCAGTCGCATAGCTAGGCTTCCTAAAAATAGTACGTTTCGTTACCTAATAAATACGAGCGGTCTGTCGTGTAGAATGTACTCCCTGTTACCGAGTCTTGGCCTTTCTTCTGTATCCCGTTGGTTGGCTGGTGCGGGACTGAACAGTCAGACGGTCGTAGCCTAGCAGGTTCCGTGTTAAGGAAACAGTACTACAACAGTGGCGACGCAGAGTTAACAAGTCGAACGGCCCACCCTGTTCCTGATCTACATCAACGATCTACCTCAGCTTCTCCGGTCGCCGTGTGCCTTGTTTGCGGACGACATGAAGATTTTGAGAGCAATTGACACTCCAGATGACTGTGGCCTAATTCAGCAAAACCTCAACCGCCTATCCACATGGTCTACAGAAGTTCTCCTCCTGGTCAACCCAGCCAAAGTCTTATTTATTAGCCTAGGCAAGGGTGCTGACGGCCAAACCTACACCCTTGACGGCAAAACGCTATATCCCACACACTCCGTGAAGGACCTAGGTGGACTCTTGCGCTACGATTTGAAGTCCGTGGACAACACGAACAGGCTATATCGTAACGGACTGCGCATGCTTTAGGCACTCAGATGTGGCTTCGGCACATGGTCTGAAGAGGTTGCCACTCGCCTCTTCTCTTCCATCATTAGACTAATGCTAGAGTACGTTTCACCAGCCTACTTTCCGATTACCCGATGCGAGGCACAAAAGATCGAACGGGTCCAACACGTTGCTACCAGGCTGATCCCGAGTTTACGTGGCTTGGGGTATGAAGACCGGTGCGAGAAACTAGGACCCTACACCTAGTCCTACCGTCGGATGCGAGTCGACCTCATTATGACCTACCCGTATTCTACATCTCGGTGACATCCCGATGCCAACGCTGCACTTACGACGGAAAAGCAGCACATGCGGTCGCAGATACAAACTTGTCGTACCGGATGTGAAATGTGTTCCTCACCCAATGTGCTTCGAACGGA